TTGTATATCCAAAATTTGCTATTAAACGTTAAAAGCTTGACATAGTCTGGTAACTCTGCCAAAATACTTTTTTTTTCTAAATTAAAAAAATGTAATAAACAAATTTTTTAATTTATTTAATTAATTTGACTTAAAAACTTTTTCTAGTCTGGCAACTCTGCCAAAATAAATCTCTTATTTTAAAATTAGAAAAATAATAAAAAAATTCAATATAAAGTAAAATTTTTATAAAATTTACTTTAACATTTTCGTAGTTTGGCAACACTGCCATCAGCATTTGCAGCCATTGACATGAGTAGGCAGTAGCTACGGCAGCTGTCACTTCGCTGTGCATGTAGGCTGCCAGTGTGCGAATTTATGCGATTTTGATAAAATTTAACCAGCATGGATTTAGGCCAAGTTAGTTAGCGCCAAACGAATTTAAGCCGCACACAAATATGTATATACAAATAATAAATACAAATGTAATTAAAAATTAATAATTTACGCTTTCACACCTCATGTGGACAGCTGGCGCATTTATATAAATGGCAAGGAGGTTTGGATATAACGGTGTGCAGATATAGGTGTGAGTGTGTATGTTTAAGTAATTTTATATGTGTGTGTGTGATTGAATGCGCGTAATATACCTGCCACCAATTGCGTACGCTGATAAATGCGTCCACCACTGGACGTTGCAACAAACCACCAGCAGAAAAATGTCAAGCTGTATGCGCCACCGTCCCGCACTTTGCTGCTCGTAACTTGCAAATAAATGCGACGCATAAATAATGACGTGAAAGCCAAAAATAGAAACAAAAGCAATATACACAGTGCGCCTGTGTGTGTGTGTTGAAACAACAAGTTGCCGACAAGAATCACTTAGCCTTTTCACTGTTGCAAAGTGTTTTGTTAAGCATACTTTGGCAAAGTTTTTATGTAACAGTAAAAGTTTTATGCACTACCTGCCCCGAACCCCGCACTACCTACCCCTACATATAGCCCTAACAAACCAGGCGCTCGAGCTCGTTGCTCTCTCGTGTACTTCTAGTTAAATGCGTCTCAAGCGGCTGCCAAAGTAATGAATGCCTTTTGAAATTGAAATTTCCAACGCGCTCTACGCCGCGTGCCCACCCATCAAGCCGTTGGTATGCACACTTTTCGCTGTCACTGTATAAATATGAAAATTGTCACATTTAATATGCATTCCTTGCTAAAGATGCGTTCAACAGAATTTCATTACCTTCGGTGTTGGGTGTTGTTTTGGTTTTTAGTTTATACTTTGATGGCTTGAACTGTGTCTTCTGATGGTCATTTACATACTTTACTCGTTCTTTCGTGCTTTTTTGTTACTTTGTTATTTACCAACTTTATTTTGCACTAGGGAAATTTTGTTGCTTGCGTCGCGTAACTGACCAACAGCGGGTAAATGAGTTTATTGGGTTCTCTTCCGCTTTTCGGGTTTGTTCTCCGACGCTTAATCTTTTATATTTGTGTATTCTATAGTAATTTAAGGAAATTCAGTAAAGTATTCAAAGAAAAAAAGTATTAGGAGTAGTTTCGAGAATACATGCAGTTAATCATGGTTTAATTCTCTTTTTGGTAAGATAAGAGAGTATAATAGAGATACGAAATGCGACTATAGACTATACACTCATACAGTGGTGGATCCGAAACTTGTCGGAGATCAACCTAATACGATAAGCGCGTACAACTGTCGGTTTTAATAAACTTTCCATAACTTTTAAATTTTCGAGGCTTTTAGAAAAATTTTAAGGGATTTAATTTATTTATTTATGAGTTTAACAATAGTATAGCATAGTCCATATTTTTATCAGCAGTAACGAAATGCTCTTTCAAATAATAATAATTTTTGAATAGCTACCCCTTTTCGAAATGCTGGAAGCGCCCATACACTCATATAACAACCAAGAAACTGTAAAGAATCCAACTACAGTGGCTTCGATAAGCAATACGATTTACAAGTAAAATTAAGTAATGTAGAAGATACTACTATTACTACGACCAAACCATCCAGAGTCCAATTTCTGTTGGTATTGAGTAAATTTTTATGACAAATGCCTCCTTTATAATGTTTTATGTAGAGTTTTTCTTGACTTTCACAGTCAGACAATTTGAGATCAGCACATTAGTTCTGAAAAAAAAAGTTCAATAACTCGAGATGCAGTGTCTTCAAGTAACCATACTAACTAACCATTCTTGTAGTCTTACCTGTAAGTCTGTAAGCAGTAATTACAAAATAACGTTAAGTGCCTGATTTGGCGTTGTTATAAGTGACCCACTGATACATATACTTGCTGTCTTTGCATGCTTATCATGTGCCTTTCCTTGTATTTATTTTCCACTTTGGCCACCAGACAAATATACTACCGTATGTCATAATCGGCCTAAAAACTGCTGTACAACACAACTGGGCACAAAATGTATTCCAATCTGTTTAGAGGTAACCACATTTTATTTATTGATAAGATCCAAAGAAGTGGGGATAACGCGCCTCCTAAAAGTGTCCCCTTTTAACATATCAAAACATTGTTGAAACTCCCAGCGTTGAAGCTATGAGCCTGCCGAGAAGCATCTGTTCAATCAGTTTTACAGGAGATTCGGAGATGTTCAGATCTTTAAGCACGCACAGAAAGAATTTTATTGAAAGCGTCGTCCACTTCAATGGAAGCTATAAGGGCGTCATCGACCTTAAATATACGCCATTCTTTGGCAGATGCACTACCAGCAACTTCACTTTTAGCACCTCCTTTTCCTTCCTGCTTTGCAGCCAGACACTGGTTACTCCGGCTTGATTTCGGCTGCCGCTGATGTAGTTACTTTATGGAGCTAGGCTTAGCTGCAGCGCCAATCATAAACGCTTTCTCATCTGCAGGAATGAATAGTAGCAAATTTTGGTGATCACTACTAGATAATCTTATCTTATCTAAAAAAAAAAATTATTTTGCAACCTGAGGTTGAGGTCCCGATTATGTTATGTTGATACTACATATATAATATATGTATATATCAAACTAAAGCTGCTATAGTGGGAGATCTTAGTCTAACGGAGAATACCGGACATAGTTTTCAGAGACTAGGATCAAACTAGTAATATCTGACTGAAATCTGACAATTGATATCTCATAGAACATGTAAAAAATACCAGTTGCCTGCATGAGTAAAAATAATCGCTTGATTGATTCGGCTTGCGATTCATACTAGTTGTAAGCCAGTCTATGACTTTACGGTTGATTACTCGGTAGGGGTGTTTTCTACGCGTACGTAGCACTGTTTATGGGAATACTTTACCACAAAATCGTAAATACAAAACGAGTAGCCCTAATTCCATTAATTCAGTGGCGTGTCGGTATACAATTTAGATATAAATGTATAATAACTCCAGCTCGCTGGAATGCGGACGGGCGAAATGATTTGCGATTGTGCCGGAATGGCCAATTGACTGATAGAATGACACTTTTGCTTATTTTATCGTCAATGCATGCACAACACCCGTATGTGGAGTTCTGTAGAATTAGAGTGACACATAGGCAATAGCTTCAAATAGGCAGCGCTTGACTGCCTACGGTAGTGACGGGCAAAATAAATGCAATAATGAAACTATTAAACGGACAATGAACTTACTGAAGTCGCAGAGCTAACGAACGTATGAATATTGCGTGAGGCTATGCAGCGCTGCGGAGAGTGCACAAGTCGGTGTATTTATTATAGTTGTAGATATGTAGGGTTATTTATATATTTAATGGATTATGTAATGTATTGAAATTAAAGTTTAAGTATCCGGGATTTGTAATTAAGGCAGATTTTTTTTATTTACCATATGAATTATTAAATACTGGCAGGTTTTAAAACTGATCTACAATAAAAGATATACAATAATAGAGACAACTGCAAGTTTTTCTGTTCCAATTTTTTCTTTTCGTGAATCACGAATTCAAGTTGATTTCAACTTTAAAAAAGCTAAAGTAAAAAAGATAATAATAGGCAGAGGCATTGCGAAATCTTAACTTCGTTTGTAAAAAGAAGAGAGTTTTTTAGTCACATGGTTTTTAAGAAGAAATTAAACGCATTTATTTAATGTTATGAGCAAGTAATTAGCTTTATCATAATAATAAGGGCTGCCATTTTATTTAAAAATAGTTTCGGCAAGTGACCGCCGCGGCTGGCTCGAGTAAATTCCAGCCGAGAAGTCCAGTTTTCGACCACTTTTTGTAGCAATAACGCGCCGAATAATTCTCTTAAGGCGTCAATCGTCTAGTTCTAATTTGCGTACACAAGTGACTTCACATAACCCAACAAAAAATAGTCCAGCGGTGTTAAGTCCACAATCTTAGAGGCCCACGACGCAAGATAACACGCACACCAAAAGTTTCCTTAAACAAAATTATTGTTTCATTGGCTGTATGGCATTTTGGGCTAATCATGGCTATATAGCGTTCCTCATTGAAGGTAACATTATGGTCGGCTTCATTTCTGAAGAAATATAGACCAATGATTCCCTCTATCTATACCATAGTTCACACCAAACAGTGACTTTTTAAGGATGTCTCAGGGTTTATGGATTATCATCATCCCTAATGTGACATTAGTGTTTATTAACGTACCCAAAATTTTCTTGTAAAAATCGGGATCGGCCGGCATTAACGTGTTCCTACCTCGTTTACCGATAATAAACGAAAGTTAAATTGGCTGGCATTCAGGTTTAAATGATTTCGTAGCATTAAAAATGAAGTCGTCACCAATTCTGCTGTACCTGTACCGAAACCAGTGAATGTATTAACGTTAAAAAAACTAATATTTATTATATATATATTATAATATATATTATAATTTTAATTCTTTAAACCGTTTTTTAAAATCGGATTATCCTGTCCCAACAATTTTTCCACGCTGACATATTTTTATCTCATATAAAACCCTTTTCTACCCACAATATTTACATAACCTCAAAATTCGCAAAATAAAAATTATATTTATTACATTTACTCTTCTCCTTCCAGCTACACAAAGGATAATGACATGCCAAGGTGAGTCAATTTATTCATTATTTAAATGACGATATTTTTAAGCTGAACTTTCGTACTGTGACGCAAATCAAATGTACTAAACCTTATTTACTAACCCGAGTACAAACAACTTTTGGCAATTTTTATTCGTTTGACATTTATTTGTTACTTTGTTTTTGAACTTTCACTGTTATTTTCCTCTATTTCTTACACTCTCGCTCTCGCTCTGAGAATTTATTTAACGGAAATGAAATGAAAAATGCATTTGGGTCAAATATCATGCGAAATTGCCAACTAGCGGTTGGTCGAAAATAAGCTATCGCAAGTAGTAGGAGGGTATATGTGTAGGCATATATGTATCTCCCACACTACTAAGCATCTTATGCCACCAGTAAGCAACAGCAAATTGCATATAAAACCCTTTACGGAGCATTACTCAGTAAACCCTTGGTTATTTAGAGGCTACTGCTACCTTAAATAATAAAAAAAGTAGGCTAAACGCGCTCGCAATATTGAACAGATATATCTGCTTCAGGGGAACTTGCTGTCCCTTTAAAGCACAGTGTAGTTTTGTTTTCATTTATTTCTCCTTTTTTTATTACCAATGTCATGTAGTGCTTTAAAGCTTTTTGCTTCTTAATTTTTGTGCAACAAAAATTGTCTCTCCTTCAGTAGTTAACTGACTTATTTCGGTTTTTTGTTTTTCAATTCAATTTCGTATTACCTCGCTGTTTTCAGCCATTCGCCAACCGACAGCAGTAATTTGTTTTCCTTTCCGTTTCGACTATCACCTTTATGTTCACAACTTCCTCCAACATTTTTTATCATTTGCCCAGCAACCTATATCAAAATATATCGAGAAATCTGCGAAGTCGCAAATAAAAAAAGTGGAATATTTGAAAAATTTAGTGCTTACCTCTCTTCTTCTCGCTTATACAGCGCCGCTTAGCGGTCAGCCTGCTGCAACCCTGCACCATTTGGGGTTGAGTAATGGATTAGATTTGTGATTTTCGATTGTGTCCATGCGTTGCCGCCCGTGCTCTCTGTAGAGGCACCCCATCTCAACCATTTGCGCAGCATTTTCTCTGTCACGCTAACAGTTTATGCCCCGTTCCGCTCTGTTTTCCACCGCAAATCTCTAGTTTTCAACGTCGAGTCCATTAACTCCCCAAGTGTTTGTTCGGCTGCTGCGTCACTGCCGCATGCCTCTCTGCACAATAGCGCCGCACCAGCTTGAGCTTCTTGCGCTCGATGTGTTTTCCTCTTGTTTCTTTTTTTCATCTTTCGTTATAACATTTTGTTGTTGTCAGTTTGGTGTTTAAACATTGTTTAACATGCATTTTAATGCGACCCTTGTGGGCTCATAAAATCGGTGTGGGTTACCCATTTGCCGACTTTTCACGTGCGAAAGTCATATGTCCGCCCGGTAGTCTTTGGCTGGGGCAGGTAGGTCAATTGATTTTCATCTTTTTCTTTTTTGGCTTCGATTTTATCGTTCAATGACATTGGAAAAATACTGTTGAAATAATAGAGTCCGTTTTGGTTTGGGTTTGCCGGGGGTTGCCACACGCAATGTAGCTGGCGAACGCCTTGAGCATGAGGTGAGTAAGCAACAGTTGTGTGGCGGGGTATGGGTAATGCAATGCCGAAATTCAATAAAATTCTACGAGTAAATTTCGATGTCTGATCTCTACGGAATAATTTAAAGGTGCATTAAAGCTATGTTGTATAATTGTTTCCCTTATAAAAGGAGCTATAAAAGGACTAAAGCTATATTTAGGCTGAGATAAATAACAGAAAGGATTTGCACTATAGATGTGTATATAAAAACCCTTTCTGTAGTAATATAAATGTCTAATATTAAAAGTATGACATAATAAAATTGTACCTTTCTTTTATTAACGTGAACCTCAAATTACCCGAAGCCATTGACAGCACAGGTTGGAAACTTAATGATTAAACCAAAACTAAAAATCACAAACAAAATACGAAATTCGACAGCCAAAGTCCGTTCTATCATCCCTGCTCTCGATATCTTCCAAGTGAAGGTATTTGGGAATTGAATCGACTCTTAACAGACACAACTGTTGTAAAATGTAATAGTAGATGTCTTTGATTCGCCACTTTTCTACTCGCTATGGTTGAACTTTGCTCTCTTATTTGAAATTTGCCATGTAAGAGACATAACCGTTTAATACACTATCTATAATTTATATACACATACGTATTTGAGATATGTCAGTTGTTTATTAGATTCGCTGCTCTTCAAAATTTAGCGAATTGAAGTCTATCTGGTATATAGTTTTTTTCCACTTTTGTGCTCTTAATTTCCGTTTATATTTTTAAGTTCAAATCACAAGTACTTAAAAAGTTTGCTCTTTATAAAGATATGAGAACCTAGTTTTAGTTATAGTGTAGTCTCAGCTGGCGTTGTATGATATCATGACCTTAGGAGTAGCTCTTACTTCAATATTGCAAGTAACTTGCTTGTCAATAGCCTTAAGGAACTGAATCGTAATACTTCATCATACTCATATCATCAGTTCTGCCGTCTAATTCATAAAAAGTCTGACGTTCTTATCACCGAAGTCACTTATAACAAGTTTAGTGAGTTTATCGCAGAAGTGATACCCTTGTCTTAAAAAGTTTCTTATGGTCCACCGGGCTTGCGAAGAAGTATTTGCCGGCTGTAATAATGTTTTATCACCAGTTTGCCCTGAGAAACAACTGGATAAGAAAAATACGACCCTACATTTGCGATTGCTTAACATTTTACCTGTATTATTATTTCCCGATTTTTTACTAAAGGAACCTGTTTATCTTTTGGTTTCTTTTTAATTTCAATTCAATTGACTATTTGATACCTTAACTTTTTGCTCGACAGTGAAATGGTCTGAAGTAATTTTCGAAAATATTCCACCCAGTTCCAAACTTTATATGAATGTACCGCCACTTCAAAAACAAGCCAGTTATTATTTCCTCAATAGGTGGCACTGTGATCGATCGAAAAAACGTTAACTTCGGTTGAACCAAAGCTATAACACCCTTCACAAAATACAAAGGCTTCTTACAAGAACAAGATGTAATGATCTGATCTGAACAATTTCTGCAGAGAATACATTGTTGCTTTAAACAATAACTCGTGCCTAATTTCGTGAAGATACCTCGTCAAATAAAAAGGTTTTCCATGCAAGCACTTTATTCCGACCGTTCTGTTAATATGGCAGCTATAGGCTACAGTCATCCGATCTATACAATTTCTTTGGAGGTTGCATTATTGCCTTAAATAATAATCCATGCCAAATTTCGTGAAGATACCTCGTCAAATAAAAAATTTCCCATACAAGTATATGCTATAGTGGTCCGATATCCGCCGTTCCGCCAATGAGCAGCTTCTTAGTAAGAAAAGGACAGGTGCAAAATTTCAGATTGATAGTTTAAAAACTGAGGGATTAGACGGACATAGCTAAATAAACTTCCAGCTCGATTTTACATACTTCGGGGTAAACTTAATATACCTTGTTCAGGGTATAAAAATGTATTTTCAGGCCGATTCGTTTCTTTTTCTGTTAACGATAAAAGGAATCTGCAATGAAAAAGTTTGAAATATTTTCATTCGGTAGTCTTTTTGATCCCAAGGTCAACTACTTCAATTTCTCAACTATGGGTTTTAAATACCCTTCCTCTCATTATTTACCCCGCTACCATGTGAAATTATTTAGTCAACACAATTGTGCCCAAACAAGATTATCCCAACAATGTAAGCGGATCAAAATTAGAAATAAAAACATGCATTTGTTAGACTAAATTACCGAAACAGACAGACAACACAGGCATTTCAATAAAACAAATCATAAAATGTACTCTCCCAGCGAAATTAAGCAACAAGGAACACTAATAGACACAGCCTTACAACCAGTTCAAACGAGGGTTGTGGTGAAACCTCAACAACTCAACCCTACCAAGTAACGCTTGAGCACTAGTGAACCAGTGCCAGTTGTGTAGCATGTCTTAAGGCGTTCGAATACTTTTTTCCATCGTTCCCCAGGCGCCTTACGTATCTTAAACTTTCTACATGTACAGGTGTTTTCACGCGCATTTACGAGCTAAAGTGTTTTAAACGACTACTTTTGAAGTGTGCGATGTCGATAAAAAAACGGAAGAAAACCAAATGTGAGTAAGAACGCCAAAGACGCGAAAGTGTTGTGGGCGTAAATTATGCTTACCTTAAAAGCCGACTGAGTTAAAAGTGCTAACGATTTTAGCTGACGACAGTGTGGGATAGAGCGCGTAGCATACTTTACGGCTGTACATAAAGCTTTTCATACTTCGCGGCGACGTGACTGCTAGAGGCTTGATGGTTCAGGTAAACATACATAGTATATGTGCATACTTATATGTTCGAAGCAAGTCTAGCATGAGTTTGCTTACTATTATGTTTGCGAACGTTTGTCAGAAAGAACTTCCGTGGCACTTATTGTACTTTCCGCCTGCCATTTTTGCGGTTTACCTGCGTCAGTGAGATTTATAGACCTCCCGCATATTTGGATTTATTTTCCGGCTATGATTGAGTTTTTTTATTACTATTTTTTTCTTTTTATTATTTCTTGTATGCCTTTTTTTTACTTTTTTATTGTATTTTCCTTCTTTTCTTACACTTTACGTTCCTGCTTATCATATTTTTAAGCTTTCTTGCTTGTATATATAGTTCTTTAGATTTATATTTCATGTACTCTACTTTTTATGCCACACTCTACTCCTTTCAACATTAATGTTAACTCTTCAACAGCGCGTCGATTCATATTTCACTCGAAAGCGCGCCACAAGTGCACGAACTTTGTTGCATGTGGAGTGTTGCTGCTGCACATTTGTTGCACTACAATATTCCGACATTTATGCTCATATATGTCATAAATCATAAGCAAAGTGACGTCTTTGTGAGAGGTGTATGCAAATGTGCTCCAATATTATGATTATGCAACATGCTGCGACAGTAAACTCTTTGCTTTCTTCTCCAACCC